TTCATTTTGTGAAGTATGACACCCCTCCAACATGGTGTGCATCGTTTTGTAAGACACTGAGGATTGTTCTGAATTATTCAAACAGTGGCTGGCTATTGAGAATGGTCTAAAAATAAGCAACCTCTCTCTCTCTCCCCTTCTCCCTCCGTCGTTCTGTCCCTCCATCCCTTCCTCCCTCAGTATCTCTCTTCATCATTTTTAATCTCTCTGCCATAACAACATCACCTCACCTGAGAGTTTCTCCACTCTCTGCGTACATGTTACACAGGATATTAGATGTGATGGATCACAGATAAGCAGTATCAAACTCTCCTCCGGCGTAGTAAATCAAGATTAATATATACTTTTGGGGACGCCAGAGTTGTGAAATTGAACAGATGAAAATATATTGCCAGTGTGATAACAAAGGACAATGTAATAATAACCCTCGTCCACTCACTACCCGCCACACCTGCTGAATGATGATTGTGTCCCGGGCCACAAATGTTATTACTGGAACTGGACTGGACACTTAAATATTTCCTACTGAAACACTGCACACACACACAGCATAAAAGCACACACACACACACTGAGCTGAGCTTCCATTCCTGGCACCTCACTTTCTAAGTTGCCACAAGATGGCAGAGAGAAGGCAACATCTTATAAGTTCCAACCGACTTTTTCTATTTAGTGACTTTTTTTCACATTTATCTTAACTTCTTTGAGACAGAAAGTTCATACTATTATCACATATGACTGCCAAGCACTTCTGGACATCAGATCAACAGTTACTAACCTCGATTTTGACTTCAAGTCCGACTTCAACTCTGACTCAGCTGTTCCCTTGTTCATAATGGACCCCATTCCTTTGTTTCATTGGCTACTAAAACCCCCAGGCGTAGATGTGGTAGATGAGCTGGCATCCTGGTGAGACTGAGACGAAGAGAAAATCGAGTGTCACTCCTCTCCATTATATTGACAAATGTCGGCAAATCAGACCATGACTCTATTCTCCTGCTTCCTGTTTACAAACAAAAGCTCATACATGAAGTACCAGTGACACGCTCAATACGGAAGTGGTCCAATGAAGCAGACGTGAGGCTACAAGACTGTTTTGCTAGTGCAGACTGGGATATGTTCCGGGATTCTTCCAGTAGCATTGAGGAGTTTACGACATCAGTCACAAGCTTCATCAATAAGTGCATAGACGACGTTGTCCCCACAGTGACTATACGAACGTATCCAAACCAAAAACCATGGATTACAGGCAATATCGACGCTGGGCTTAAGGCTAGAGCTACTGCTTACAAGGAACGGGACACTGACATTGACACATACAAGAAAGCCTGCTACAACCTCAAGAAGGACAATATAAGAGGAAGGTGGAATCCTATTACACCGACTCTGACGCTTGTCATATGTGGCAGGGCTTTCAGAAGATAACGGATTACAAAGGGAAACCCAGCCGTGAGATGCCCAGTGATACAGAACTCCCAAATAAGCTAAATGCCTTTAATGCACGCTTCGAGGAATACAACATTGAGTCTTGCATGAAAGCTCCTGTTGTTCCAGATGATGACTGTGTGATCTCGTTCCCCGTGGCCAATGTGAATAAAACTTTTAAACAGGTTAACACTTGCAAGTCCACCAAGCCGGACGGAATACCAGGGCACGTTCTCAAAGCATGCACAGACCAGCTGGCAAATGTCTTCACAGACATTTTCAATCTCTCCTTGTCTCAGACCACCATTGTCCCTGTTTCCAAGAACTCCAAGGTAACCTGCCTAAATGACTATTGCTCTGTAGCACTCACATCTGTAATTATGAAGTGCTTTGAAAAGGCTGGTCATGACACACAATAACACCATCCCAGACACTGTGGACCCACTCCAATTCACATACCGCCCCAACAGATCCACAGATGACGCAATCTCAACAGTACTTCACATTGCCCTCTCCCACCTGGACAAGAGGGGAAATAACTGTGAGAATGCTGTTCATAGACTCACAATTCTATACAGAGCCATGATCACATGGAACTCCCGTCTCCAATTACTCAAGCAAACAACAAAATTACCTTTAAAAAACGGATTAAACAACGTCTCATGGCACGGCGGGGACTGTGATTGGACACACACACAAACACACTCTAACACACATATTTTTTTGTTGTTGTATTGTTTGTATATCATTGTATTTTAAATGTGTGTTACTGTCCTTGTCTATCAGTGTATCAGTGTTTTGTTAATTGCCATGTTTTTGTTTTTTTGTGGACCCCAGGAGGAGTAGCTGCTGCTTCTTCAAAAGCTAATGGGGATTCAAATAAACAAACAAACAATACAAACACACATACACACACACTTTTACACTCATCATATGCTGTTGCGTTTATAATTTTTGTGTGTACTTTGTACCCCTGCACATCTGGTATTGGCACTCCCTGTATATTCATTTGCATTTTAGTCATTTAGCAGGCACTCTTATCCAGGGCGACTTACAGGAGCAATTAGGATTAGGTGGCCTGCACATCCACATATTTCTTTCACCTAGTCGGCTCGCGGATTTCATCCAGCAACCTTTCGGTTACTGACCCAACACTCTGTCGCGCCATATAGCAATTTTATTCCTCTTGTGTTACATTATTTTTTATATTTTCTAACTCTGCATCGTTGGTAAGGGCTCGTAAGCAAGCATTTCACGGTAAAGTTTAAACCCGTTGTATTTGGCGCATGTGACAAATAACATTTGATTTCATTTGATTTGACACACACACAGGGTTCTAGTTGGAGACGTACATAGTCCTACATCCCCCCCACTCCACATCACACTCTACCTGACCCCAATATGAAACGACTCCCACTGGAGAGACATTACATTGGCAGTAACAATCCACAAAGTCCCTCAGAGTGGTATAGCAGCAGTGACTCATAGGACCAGTATATTCAGAGCCAGCTAGCTTGGTTAAACCAGACTGAACGCATTGTTTGTCAATGTTTCAATCTGGTTTAGCCAGGCTAAGAGCCAGCCAGCCAACCAGAGGTAATCAGGGCCATAGCTACATATGAGGATACCGAGGTCCAGACCTCAGTAATATTTTTAAGTCGGGGGCTCAACTTACTGTTGAGAGTTAGAATAGTATAATGCTCAAGTTGCAATTTTGAAACTTTGTTGTGCATCATCAGTTTTGTTATATGTCACTCAATGAAAGTCACTCAAGTAGCCCATGTCAGTTAAACATTTTTAGATTGGCAAATTAGTTTAGTTAGTTTAGCCAGCTATCTAAACTTGAAGTAATCATGGCAGAATTATCGACCGGGCACGCAGGGCACGTGCCCAGGGGCCTTGACCTCCAGGGGGCCCCCATTGATTTTGTTAGCCACTCTCACTCAGATATCATATTAACGTAAGTCCTGAGTCATTGCAGAACATTTGCTTTTAAAACTACTAAAATTCCCCCCTTGATAAAATGTGTAGAATTAGCTATAAAACTGCAACAACAAAAAAAAGTTATTTAAACCAATGTGATAATGGCTGGGGTAATTTTCCTTGTTTTTGCTGTTCTCCAAATAGCATTTTAGACCTCACTAAAACTCAGACCCTGGCTACGGCCCTGGAGGTAATGTACTTGTTGTCATTGGAGAGGAACAAAGGATGTGTCCCAAATGGCACCCTATTCCCTATATAGTCCACTACCAGGGCCCATAGGGGTCTGGTCAAAATGTAGTGCACTATATAGGGAAAGGGGTGCCATTTGGGAACACAGCCAGGGTGTAGTATTAGTGTAATCTGGCTGTGGTCCCATGCTACAGCTGCAGACACTAGAGTGCTTTTGAGCTTTCCCATCAGAGCCAGGCCGTTGTTTGCAGTGTTTAACAGTTACAGTAATAACTTCCCGTTGATAAGATTGTGTCAGGTCTGCCACTGGGGGGGGATCACCGGGGTTAATTACGTACTCTGGGCAGGCACATCTCCAGTTCCCAAAAGGCACACAGGCATGCTGGCAGGCACACGCACACACACTCACGCACAGTCGACAGCCATGAAGACACACAAATTATTTTGAAGCCGTGTTGTGTATAACTTGTTTTAAAATGTAAAAAATATCAAATCTCTCCGCTTTGGCCTTTGTTTGTGGCTTCTCTGCAATAAGCTCTCTCCCTCAATCCCCAAATAGGCCTGATTGTTTTGTAGGTGTTTTGCGATCTTACAACACTTCATATTCAGAAATTGTTATGATTGGACGACATTCGTATCTTTGCCACCTCATTTACCCTGGCGGAAATAATAATGAAGACAAAAAACAACTACCACTGACTGTGATTATTTCCAGTGTAGATTCCCACAGTTTTATGGATGTGTCGACGATTATTGATAGGTGCTTCTGTGTTGAGTTTAACAGCCCGTCCTAATATAATATTCCTTGTTAATGGGAACATAAATACATTTATAAATGGTTTTGATCGGCTTGTCTTTAATGGCATGCTTTTCTTCAGAAACCAGGTGGGGAACACTAGAAAGAGAAGCTTTGCCGCTTATGCTTATGACGTAGTCTATTTGAATGTGACACACCTATAGACTAAAGGCTTTTATACCGATGAAAGCCTTTCTCTCTTTCTCTACCTACTTTTAAAGCAGAGCCTTCGTAATGGAGGTGTGAATAGGCTTTGAATACGTGTGAATAAGTACGTACAGTAAATTATCAATTGTTTTTCAAATGTTTTGTTTCAAGGTTTGTTTTTGTTCCAAAATGAATTGATCATAACAGGTTACGTAACGTTATTTCAAGTTGACAAGCAGCACTTGATGTAATTACCCTCTGCTAAAATTATCATAATTAGGTTTTCATAAACAAATAAAAGCAGAGCCAAGTTGATTATTTGTGCATGCCAAAGTATTTCTATCTGACTGTGTACGTCTACTGTTGCTGTACCACTGTAGCTCTATAGCAAAAGAGAATTCATTCTCTATAACCTGTTAACCCATGTATGTTTGTTTGTCTCCCTGCCTGTGTTTTTTAGGGCATAGAGGTGGACCCCCACACAGCCCTGGCCCTACCCCCAGACTCCAAACAGGCCAAGGAGGAGGACCCCCTGTTCCTAGCCTCAGACGAGATGACAATCAGGATAGGTAGAGCAGGACCGCTCTCAGGCAAGCCTCCCTTCATATACCCACATCATCATCAGCAACTTCCCCATCTACTGTATTTCTCAAACAAACTATGGCAGGGGCTCAACTGAAAAACCACTCAAAACCACCCATCGTGAGTCTCATTTCTCTGATGGCTTGCTTTTGGATATTCTCTCTCTCTCTCCTCTCTCTCTCTCTTTCTCTCTCTCTCTCTCTCTCTCTCTCTCTCTCTCTCTCTCTCTCTCTCTCTCTCTCTCTCTCTCTCTCTCTCTCTCTCTCTCTCTCTCACATTCAATTCAAAGGGCTTTATTGGCATGGGAAACATACAGTGCATTCGGAAAGTATGCCCTTTGCTCAGTACTTTGTTGAAGCACCTTTGGCAGCGATTACAGCCTCGAGTCTTCTTGGGTATGACGCTACAATACGCTCTCAGGCAAGCCTCCCTTCATATACCTACATCATCATCAGCAACTTCCCCATCTACTGTATCTCTCAAACAAACTATGGCAGGGACTCAACTGAAAAACCACTCAAAACCACCCATCGTGAGTCTCATTTCTCTGATGGCTTGCTTTTGGATATTCTCTCTCTCTCTCTCTCTCTCTCTCTCTCTCTCTCTCTCTCTCTCTCTCTCTCTCTCTCTCTCTCTCTCTCTCTCTCTCTCTCTCTCTCTCTCTCTCTCTCTCTCTCTCTCTATCTATCTATCTCAATTCAATTCAATCCAATTTGCTTTATTGGCATGGTGTAACAATGTACATATTGCAAAGCTTACTTTGGATATTTACACTATTAACATACTTAAAATAATAATAATCAATATTGTCAATGGGACATCAGTGACAACAATAACCAAGGGTCAAAATAACCATTGAACAATAACAATATAGAGGACATGTGCAGGTTGGTTGGTCTGTCAGACACTGTCCCTCATCTTATGGCAGGCAGCAATGTAGTGCGCTGCCAACCCACAGCTCTCTGCATCCTCCCCCAACAGGACAGGTAGCCTATCCTCATCAGAGAGGTCTTTGAAACCTTGAAAAACGGTTTCAAATTTGTGGGAATGACACTCTCTAATTGTTTTATATTTTCGACATTTTGTCAGGAAATGCAGCTCTGTCTCAGGTTCTGCTGTGGTGCAGTGGTTGCACAGCCTTTCCTCTACAGGGAGCCAGGTTTTCCTGTGTCTACACTTCTCAATGGCAAGGCTGTGCTCACTGAGCCTGTACTTTGTCAAGGTATTTCTAAGGTTTTGATCAGTAACCATGGTCAAATCTCTCTCTCTCTCTCTCTCTCTCTCTCTCTCTCTCTCTCTCTCTCTCTCTCTCTCTCTCTCTCTCTCTCTCTCTCTCTCTCTCTCTCTCTCTCTCTCTCTCTCTCTCTCTCTCTCTCTCTCTCTCTCTCTCTCTCTCTCTCTCTCTCTCTCTCTCTCTCTCAATTCAAAGGGCTTTATTGGCATGGGAAACATACAGTGCATTCGGAAAGTATGCCCTTTGCTCAGTACTTTGTTGAAGCACCTTTGGCAGTGATTACAGCCTCGAGTCTTCTTGGGTATGACGCTACAAGCTTGGCACACCAGTATTTTGGGAGTTTCTCCCATTCTTCTTTGCAGATCCTCTCATGCTCTGTCAGGTTAGATGTTTTCGCTTCGTCATTATGGGGTATTGTATGATGAGGGGATAAAAAATAAAATAAAATTTAGAATAAGGCTGTAACTTAACAAAATGTTGAATAAGTCAAGTGGTCTGAATACTTTCCGAATGCACTGTATGTTAACATTGCCAAAGCAAGTGAAATAGATAATAAACAAAAGTGAAGTAAACAATACATAATTTACAGTAAACATAACACTCCAAAGGAATAGAGACATTTCAAATGCCATATTATGGCTCTTTCTCTCTCTCTCTCTCTCTCTCTATCTCTATCGCGCTCGCTCTCGCTCTTTCTCTCTTTCACTCTTTCACTCTCTCTCCTTTCTCTTCTTTCTCTCTCTTTTCTCATCTTACCAATCAATATCTATACTGGCCTGTGGTGCTTGAATATGGGGATTCTCCTCGCAATCATCTCACCGGTGTTCTTTGTGTTTCATGTTTTCCTTCTGGTTTTATTTATTTTTTATTTTGAAACATACATACTCTCCTCAAGACACAGGAAACGTTACTCACCTCAGAGCCAATTTCCACTTCAATCTCTATGTTAATAGGTGTGGTGAATTGGTTTAAACGGATATCGAAAACGGGTTTATCCAGACTGTGACAATATGACAACAAGAATAGAAAATTGGATACCCATCGCTTTCAGCTTTGGTTTTATTCAATGTTCTGGATGCTAATTGCTGGAATAATAAAGAAGCCCACAGCAATTATGAACTTGATCCCTGTGCATGGAGTCCAGCTTGCTTAATTAACTGAGCCAAACTAGTAGAAATATTTAATTTAGACTACAGGCATATACAGTACCTTCAGAAAGTATTCACACCCCTTGACTTTTTCCACATTTTGTTGTGTTACAGCCTGCATTAAAAATGGATTAATTCAAGATGTTTTGTCACTAGCCTACACACAATACCCCATAATGTCAAAGTACAAAGGACATTTGTACTAATTAATAAGAAATGCAAAGCTGAAATGTCTTGAGTCAATAAGTATTCAACCCCATTGTTATGGCAAGCCTAAATAAGTTCAGGAGTACAAATGTGTTTTAATAAGCTGCATGGACTCACACTGTGTGCAATAATGGTGTTTAACATGATTTTTTAATGACTACCTCATCTCTGTATCCCACACATGCAATTATCTGTAAGGTCCCTTAGTCGAGCAGTGAATTTCAAACACTGATTCAACCACGAAGACCAGGGAGGTTTTCCATTGCCTCGCAAAGAAGGGCACCTATTGGTAGATGGATAAAAATTAAAAAGCAGACATTGAATATCCCTTTGAGCATGGTGAAGTTATTCATTACACTTTGGATGCTGTATCAATACACCCAGTCACTACAAAGATAATGGCGTCCTTCCTAACTCAGTTGCCAGAGAAGAAGGAAACCGCTCAGGGATTTCACCATGAGGCCAATGGTGATTTTAAAACAGTTACATTTTAATGGCTGTCATAGCAGATAACTGAGGATGGATCAACAACGTTGTAGTTACTCCACAATAATAACATAAATGACAGAGTGAAAAGAAGGAACAAAACATGCATCCTATTTGCAATAAGACACTAAAGTATTGCTTTCTGAAGGCACTGTAAGTGACTAATTTACTGTGACACCTCCACCCTACTGTACTGTCACAATGACCCACTCCAGTCATGCGTCCCCTGATGATGATCTGCCCGAGCCATGCGTCTACTAATGATATCCTGCAGTTATCTGGTCAGTCGGGTTGAAGTCACTCTGGGAGGCCATGTCTTTAAATTGGGATGACAGAAAAAGGAAATATCGCTTCCCTCATTAAGAAACAAACACTCGACCCCCTCTGATGTCAAAAACTACAGATCGGTATCCCTTCTTAATTTTATTTCCAAAACACTTTAGCGTGCTCTCTCTAACCAACTCTTTCGTTATCTCTCTCAGGACGATCTTCTTGACCCTAACCAGTCAGGCTTCAAAACGGGTCATTCAACTGAGACTGCTCTCCTCTGTGTCACAGAGGTTCTCCGGTCTGCCAAAGCTGACTCTCTCTCCTCTGTTCTCATACTTCTAGATCTATCCGCTGCTTTTGACAACGTGAACCATCAGATCCTCCTCTCCACCTCTCAGGGTTGGGCGTCTCAGGCTCTGCACACTCCTGTATTGCATCATACGTGGCAGGTCGCTCCTACCAGGTGGTGTGGAGAGGATCTGTGCCCCGCTGTTCATCAAATACTGCCTCAGCAATATGAAAACACACACACAGACACTCAAATACTGTATACCAGTGGAGCCTGTGGGGAGGGGTAGGGTCTCCCTGATGGTCTGAGAGCACCTACCTAAATAGAGCTGCACACACAGTGGTGGCCAGGCTGCCTGTGAAAGGTTGTGTGTCAGGTGTCTGCACTAAACTAGGCTGCAGGAACAGGTGGTGGAGAAACAGGCCAGAGTTGGCACAGCTATGCCAACTTCTCAGCACTGAGAGATGCAAGGTGGCACCTATGATTCACAAAGGACAAACGGGGAAGGGAGTGTGTGTGTGTGTATGTTTGACTGCATATGTGTGTGTGTGTGCATGTGAGGGTGGCAGCCAACAATAGTATTGTGTCTTCTTAATCTTCTTCTCTCAGAGAGCTTCTGAGCTGCTTACGTGTGGATCCGACAGCAGCACTTAGAACAGCTAACATGTATTCTCCCCCCACTCCATCAAATAAATATATATCCCTTATACTTTATGCATGAGACTTACTGAATAATTCAGTCTGTATTTGGAGAGAATAGGAATAAGTCAAATTTTTTGTGGTTCTATCTTATTTTATACTTCCCTACGGTGTTGTCATTTCCTACAAACCATTGTTAAGTGTTTACTGGCTATTTAGCAACTTCATAAAAGTGAACTATACCTTTAAGGTTTTAGCGCCGGTTCAGTACGTCAAGCACAGCTACCCATCCCTTCTCTTAAAGAGCTGTTAACGGGGCAGGATCTCAAAACTTGCTTTGGCCACACCCTTTAGAACGCTGTCATCCATTTAACTAAGGGGACAGAGAGAAGGTAGTATCCCCAAAGTGTTGAATGACTAAGTAAGGAGTAGGGACTGGGGGGTAAACACAGTACACTTCTGCCAAGTATTATATTACCATATCCTCTTATGTCAGACAGAGCAGTATTGTCATTATTATTATCATTATGTAACAAGTTGATTTTAGATTTTTCAGGTATTCGGTTGCTATTTTAGCTCTCTGTATGGGATTCGTGGTTCATGTCTGAGTGTTTGCGGGTGACCTGTCAGGTGAGATGAACCGAAATGAGAGTAGAGGAAAGGAGAAAGGTTGGAGTGGGAGCACTCCTCCTTCTGCATGTCGTTGAGGAGACAGGATACCCAGTCTACCCAGATTGCTCACTGACATTAACTGACAGTCTGATTGGAGGAGACCTTTCTGGTCACAGCACCCAGGCTAAAGCATGAGCAGAAGGAGACCTTAGGACTGACTGAGGAAAAAACACA